CCTACTCACCCTAGATGCTCCTACGACCCTCCCTCCCCGCGGCCCGCATGGTCAACCCTTCACGGACACCTGGAGTGGCAACCTGGGGCCACCTTTCCCTCCTCCGCTTCCTCGGAAGGGCATCCATTCCCCTTTGTTTGGGACTGCCTCAGCCGCAGTCGTCGAGACTAGTCCCAGACCCGGCCCAAAAGGAATGCAGAGAGAGGGTCCGGATGCGGCAGCCTCTTCGCTGTCGCCCCCACCCAGAACTGCAGACCTGCGGGTGAGAAAAGTGCTGCCGCTGTTGACTCAGGGATAACGATTCCGGTGCGCCCCTCGCGCACATCATTAGCATAGTAATAGTTTAACAGCCACCCAAGATGCTACCGCTTTGGTTTTGCTGGCTTTGCGTTCATGCCTTCTAATTCCCCTTTTATGTCCCTCCTCCCCACAAAACATATTCTGCCTCTTGCCAGGGCCAATAGCGTTGGACCATAATGGAGGAAACGATTGCTTGGACACGGTTTGGGCAGCCTTGGCTTGCTTGGTGGATTGCTTCCTAGCTCTCTAACCACACCCCTCTGCAAAAGACCAGTAGCAAGATGGTGAGAGAAATAAATTCTCTGCACGGTTGCACTGGTTTTCACAAACAATGCTGCCACTACCCCATTCCCGGATCTGCTTGCGACTGCGAATCCAAATGAAGAGCCAACAAAAAAAGGGACACAGTGTATTTTGCTAAATATCTGCAAAACTTCTTTGGAACATGAAGCTTTTAGCCATTTTCGCTTGTATGTTGGCACTTATCTGTGTGAAGCTTTGTGTTTGCTCAGCCCTTAGCAGTTTCAGTGCATCCAAGGGATTACTGTGATGATTGTGCCCCTACTTCAGGCTGTCCTTTTGTGCTAGTCCCCAGGCTGCAGTGTGTAACTGTCAAATGAAGCTATGTGTGCCAACATACAAATCTTCAAGCACACAGGTGTGAGAAGGGAGACTAAATCTTCATATAAGACAGTAGTTCTCAAGTTTCGTAGTCTCAGGACCACTTTACCTGTCAAAAATTACTGAGGACCTAAGAGTTTCTGTTTATATGGGTTATAGCTGTTCTTATTTACCATATTGGAAATCAAAACTGGGTGACCAGCAGATGGTGTAAGGGATATGTTGTTAGATTCCCACTTAATACACCATGGTTCAAGTCCCAGACCCAGCAGTTTAAACTCATGCCAGGTGCATAGGTGTGCCTGTCTAAAGTCCCAAGAGGAGAATAGAGGAGAAGGAATTGTGGTGTGGCTATCCCCCCTGGGGGTGATTTCTCACTTTCTGTCTCTCTGACTCTCCAGTAAGCACACACGCCCTATAGCAAAAATTTCTCTAAAAAAAATTAAAAATATATATATATTTAAACTGGAAAACGTTCAATGTACTTATTAGCTTATCTGCAAAACAGTAATAATGAATTATATAAATGACATTTTAAATGAAAAAAATAACTTGTCTCCCCTATCAATTAGAAGAATGGTGTTATGGAGTTTTTTTTACCCCCTCCACTTCTTTCTACTCTTTTAAAAAGTTTGCTCTTTAGGGACCAGCAGTTGGTGTAATGGCTATGTCGCTGGACTCCCATGTGTTCAACTGCGGTTTGAGTCCTGGACCTGGTGGCTTAAACACATGCCGAGCGTGTTGCGTGCATATGTGCCCAAGATCCTGAGAAGAGAATGGAGAAGGGATTGTGGTGTGGCCATCCTCCCTTGCTTTTTGTCTCTCTGTCTTTCTGGCAAGCGCACATGCCCTTTAGCAAAAACCTCTCAAAAAAAAAGTTTTCTCTTTTTATTCATGATTGTGTATGTGTGCGTGAGAGAGCGGAAAGCACCTGCAGCAGGTCTTGTCATTCTGGAGTCCGCTTTCCCCAGCCCTCCAGCCCATCAGGATTTGGGGCACACGTACAAGTCCAGTGTGTTTTCAGATTTACTTGGGGGTCTGATCTGCAGCCAGCCAGGTGTCTTCTGTCATCACAGTTGAATTTGCTCCTAGTTGTGCCATGAGGGTGAGCCTGCTCGTTTACTGTGACGAAATACAACAAGATGTTCTGTTTAATCATTTTTAAGTGGACAATTCAGAGGCATCTTCCTTTTTGAGACTGAGTAACTTTCCATAATATGTATATACCACAGTTCGTGTATCCATTCATCTGTCAATGGATACGTGGGTTGCTTCCACCTTTGGCTACTGTGGATAATACTGTTAAGATCATTGGTACACACGTATCTGTTTGAGTTCCTATTTTTTCCTATTTTTTTTTTTTTTTTGGAATATATATCTGGAAGGTAGAAATTGCTGGAGCATATGGTTTAAAGTGTGTTTTAATTTTTTGAGGAAGCTCCATACACTTTTATACAGTGGCTGTGCCGTTTCGCATTCCTATCAGCAATGCACAAGGATAACAATTTCTTCACCCTGCTTTTTGGATAAAGATCATGCTAGGAATGACATTGTTTTGACAACAACTAATTGTCTTGGCAAAACTAGTGTGTGACTTAATAGAAGCTAGCTGGTCTCATATGTGCTTCTGCATTTAACCTGCACTGTCTTGTTTTGGTTTAAGACGAGGAACATCCCACCTCACACTCATATGTAGTAGGGAAAAGAGGAATATTTTCATCACTTTTTAAAGATAATTATGGATATTCTTTGATATCATACCAAAGTTCAGGAAGTTGTTGATTTTGTTTTGTTTTATAGCAGGTACATGAGTAAGAGGGAGAGAGAGAGAGAGACATAACATCCTTGTCAAGATCACACCACCGTCCCTTTTCCCTAGCCCTCTAGCTCCTCAGGATCCCAGACACCAGCTACTGTTCCCTCTGAACAAATACAGTTTTGAAAGATTAGTTGCAAAATAAAATCTGAAACTGTATCACTGTACTTTTCTTACTCTGTTCCATTAAAATACATTGGTATATTTTACACTTTGAGTACATCTTCTACCTATACATGATTTCATACATTTGCCGTTTGGTCACTCACTATTATTATATGAGTATTTCTAATGTTGACATATTTCGCTATATGATATCAGTCAGTCACATTTCTTAATATCCTCATTCATCTGGTCAGAAAAATCTCCCAAGTCTTGAGAAGCTGTCAAACTCATGGCTGTTGTCCTGATTTTCTAACATTCTGATTT